ATGATGGAGGAGCTGAGGATGGACTCCATGATGGAGGAGCTGAGGATGGACTCCATGATGGAGGAGCTGAGGATGGACTTCATGATGGAGGAGCTGAGGATGGACTCCATGTTGGAGGAGCTGAGGATGGACTTCATGATGGAGGAGCTGAGGATGGACTCCATGTTGGAGGAGCTGAGGATGGACTCCATGTTGAAGGAGCTGAGGATGGACTCCATGATGGCCGTGGAGAACTGCACCATCAGCCTGGCCGGCAGCGTAGCTTTCTTCAGCTGTCGCAGGAAGTACATCCTCTGCTGGGCCTTCTTGATGAGGGAACTGATGGTCGGCTCCCACATGMGGTCCTGGGTGATGGTGGTGCCGAGGAACCTGTAGCAGGCTGCAGTGGTGATGGGGGTCTCATTAAGGGTGAGGGGGGCAGAGGGGCTGTGGCCTTTCTGAAGTCCACAATATCTCCACTGTTTTCTGGGCATTGAACTCCAGGTTGTTGCTGCTGCACCAGGTCACCAGCAGGTCCACCTCCCTCCTGTAGGCAGACTCATCACCATCCGAGATGAGCCTGATGAGGGTGGTGTCGTCCGCGAACTTAATAGGTTTTAAAGAGTCATGGCTGGAGGTGCAACAGTTAGTGTACAGGGAGAAGAGCAGAGGGGCGAGAACACAGCCCTGCGGAGATCCTGTGCTTATAGTCTGTGTGTCCGAGACAACTTTCCCCAGCCGCACTCGCTGACTCCGGGCTGTCAGGAAATCTGTGATCCACCTACAGGTGGAGTCTGACACATGGAGTAATGAAAGCTTGTCCTGGAGCAGAGCAGGAAGGATGGTGTTGAATGCAGAGCTGAAGTCCACAAAAAGTATCCTAGCGTAGGTTCCTGGTGAATCCAGATGCTGCAAGATGAAGTGGAGAGCCAGCTTTATGGTGTCATCTACAGTCCTGTTGGGTCTGTAGGCAAACTGCAGAGGGTCCAAAAGGGGGTTGCAGATTGACTTGAGGTGGGCTAAAACCAAACGTTCAAAGGTTTTCATGACTACAGACGTGAGAGCCACAGGCCTGTAGTCCTTGAGTCCTGTGATGCGTGGCTTCCTGGTAACAGGGACGATGGTGGAGGACTTGAAACAGGCTGGGACTTGACATAATTCCAGAGAAGAGTTGAAGATACCTGTGAAGACCGGGGCCAGCTCATCAGCACAGTGTCTCAGAGTGTGGAGGGAGACACACAGTCTGGACCTGCAGCCTTATGTGGATTCAGTCTCTTGAACAGCCTGTTCACATCCTCACATTTAACAGCTGTTCACATCCTCACATTTAACTGCCTGTTCACATCCACATTTAAGTCTATGCTGCAAACAGATTACACAGAGTGGAGCGGGTGACTGTTCCAAGATGGCGGCCCCACGGCTCGTCAGCTCTAATGGACAAGAGCGGTCCATAAGGAGGTGTCTAGTGTTTCTATGATAACTATGCTAGCCATTTACTACATCATCGCTGTTTTTAGTCAGAAAACGAACATCCTCACAAAGATACCTTAAACCTTCAGAATAATACCACTGTTGCGATTTCAGACATATAAAGGAGAACAACTGATGTGTCAGATGACAGAGACGTGTAGTAACACAACAAAATTTATGGTGTCTGTTGAGCTGCACACGTGGCTCGTTGGTCTAGGGGTATGATTCTCGCTTCGGGTGCGAGAGGTCCCGGGTTCAAATCCCGGACGAGCCCTATATTTTGCTGCTATTCATGAACCCGTTTAAATTTGAGATCTAATGGTTGTCAAAACATAATGTTACCTACTCCTCTTGTCTGTTTTGTTCCAGAGAATGTGCTGTGCTGTTCACACCACAACAGAATCAGCACCAGATCCCTACACAGAGGCAGGGATAATTTTACTACCGRGACATGCTTTACTGTGGCTCGTTGGTCTAGGGGTATGATTCTCGCTTTGGGTGCGAGAGGTCCCGGGTTCAAATCCCGGACGAGCCCATCTTTTCGTATTTCTTTTACTCTGAGTTATTTTCATCTACAGAACACAAATAGCCTGAATATTCAACATTTGTAAGTCGTTAGCTTTTGAAACTGGTTGCCCCCCACCTCCCTTTACGTCCCCCAGCCGTCTCTCCACCTGCTCTCGTCCGAATACAGAACAAAGCCTGCCCTGCTCCCCCAGCTGTTGTGGGAAGGGGAGGGAGGAAGAGGCGGGGAGGGTTCCGGGATGTGAGAAAGAGAAAGAGACGTTCCTGTTCCGCCCCCACAAACCCAGCAGACAGTCCTGACAGGCGGCAGACGAGCCTCTCCAGCACCGTTCACCCAGCAGCTGAGTCACCTTTAAACAGGTTCACTGTAAGTACTTTATTTCATTACTACAAACTTGACTCTTTTATTGTGATGATGTGTGTCGCTGTGTGTATTCATGCTCAGTAAGTGTATTAAACCTGATCCTTTTTACTGTTTCTCATCTCTGTTTACTATAAATAAAGATTCAAATGTAATTTTAGAAAATTGTTATCTGTTGTGTAAAAATAGGTTCACCTTTGTTCCACCTTTTCTCAACTGTTTTTCTAATAATGGGTTGAAACTTGTTTGGGCAGACTCGCCGTGGGAGCTGTGGACCTTCTGTCAGCTCTACAGTTCTCTGGAAACCTGATTTACAGACTTTGATCAGGACTCAGCTCATCCTGAGGCCTTTATTCTTAGAGGAGGGGGGTCCAGTTTGAAGATGGTCCTGTGTGAGGATGGAGAGTGCAGCGTCTGCCTCTTGCCGTACTCCCGCGTGGACAGGATCCCCCGGGTGCTCCACTGCAGGCACACCTTCTGCGAGTCCTGCCTGAGGACCATATCGCAGGTCAGAGGTGGGCTCCTCACCCTGCCCTGCCCCCTGTGCCGACGGGTGACCGGCATAGGCGGGGGCCGCGGGCTGCAGGAGRCCCTGTGGGTCAACGACAAGCTCTGGGAGCAGATACCAGAGGAGGAGGAGGATGGACGGCAGCAAAAAGCAGAGACGGAAAGGACGGAGGCCGAACAGGCAGAGTGGTGGGTTCTTAAAAATCCTTTTTTTAAAAACACAAAGAGCAAAACACGTGTCTATTTTTCTCTCCTGGAATTATGACTTTCTAATATTGTGTCTTGATTCGGCGCAGTCAGGCGACACAAACATAAATAGGGGACCTTTTTTTTTTCCCAAACACTTTCATGATCTCATCTGAGAGAAAAAAAAAATTCTTTTAAAGAAAAAAAAAAGAACAAAGGATCAGTTTAGGAAATTCCATACATGCCACACTTCAGTGTTGAGCAGCTGATTTGTCCACAAACGTCTCATTAGCGTCTCAGCTCCGCAGCCTCACCGTCTTCTTCTTCTACCTTCCAGCGCTTCGAGGTCTGCTGCCGTCAAGCTCAAACTGCCGGCCTTCTTCAGGAAGTTCAGTCTGACCAAGCAGCAGGAGAGGATCATCCCCGGCAGTAACGTGTAAGGTTTTGACTCTGATGTTGAGTAAAGACGTGTTACACAGAACAGTCTGTAACAGCAGGAAAAGTCCCATAAGTTGGGAAAAAAGAGCTTGTTTTCTACGAAAGTGGGGCTTTAAACCAGATGTCCCAACAAAGAATAAGATGTTCATGTTTGTGTTTGTTATTCAGCTTGGGTGAATTTGACTGCAAAACACATACAGTCTGTATGAACGAACATGTTAAAATGTTATAAAGACATTTTAGCTATAAACACCTCCTGATTTGCACATATACAGTATGTGACATCAAGTGTAAAACAAAACATTAAAAATGTCACTAACACATTGTTATTTAGTTCACTACACTTACATGTAGCTAATTTTGACTAAATGTTAAATTGAAATGTTAATTATTGTTTGTAAATATTAAATTCTAAATCTAAATATGTAAATCTAAATGTAAAAATTAAATCTTAAATGTTGCGGCTAAATGAAAAAAGTTTATATTTATTTCAGAATGGATCACATCCTTTGCTGTTGTTGTTTGGCTTGTTATGATGTCATCATCCTGAGATGCTAACTCTGCTAACTCTGCTGGTATTTAAAATGTAAATTCTAAATGTGTTAATTGAGAACATTATGGATGATACCTGTGGTCCAGCAGTTTGAATTGAAACTCAGACACCAGCCACAACTGGAAACTTGATGGTATGGAGGGAAGTGTTAGCACCACTAGCAGCATTAACAGTGTTAGCACCATTAGCAGCGTTACCAGTGTTAGCAGTGTAGCAGCATCAGTAGCATTAGCAGCAATAACAGTGTTAGCAGCATCAGCAGCATTAGCACTGTTAGCAGCAATAGCAGTGTTAGCAACATCAGCAGCATTAGCAGTGTTAGCAGCATTAGCAGCAATAACAGTTTTAGCAGCATCAGCAGCATTAGCAGTGTTAGCAGCATCAACAGCATTAGCAATGTTAGCAGCATTAGCAGCAATAGCACTATTAGCAGCAATAGCAGTGTTAGCAGCATCAGCAGCATTAGCAGCATTAGCAGTGTTAGCAGCAATGGCAGTGTTAGCAGCATCAGTAGCATTAGCAGCAATAACAGTGTTAGCAGCATCAGCAGCATTAGCAGTGTTAGCAGCATTAGCAGCAATAACAGTGTTAGCAGCTTCAGCAGCATTAGCAGTGTTAGCAGCATTAGCAGTGTTAGCAGCAATAGCAGTGTTAGCAGCATCAGCAACAATAGCAGTGTTAGCAGCATCAGCAACAATAGCAGTGTTAGCAGCATCAGCAACAATAGCGGTGTTAGCAGCATCAGCAACAATAGCAGTGTTAGCAGCATCAGCAACAATAGCAGTGTTAGCAGCATCAGCAGCAATAGCAGTGTTAGCAGCATCAGCAGAATTAGCAGTGTTAGCAGCATTAGCAGTGTTAGCAGTGTAGCAGCATCAGCAGAATTAGCAGTGTTAGCAGTGTAGCAGCATTAGCAGTGTTAGCAGTGTTAGCAGTGTAGCAGCATTAGCAGTATTAGCAGTGTTAGCAGTGTAGCAGCATCAGCAGAATTAGCAGTGTTAGCAGAATTAGCATTGTTAGCAGTGTAGCAGCATTAAAAGAATTAGCAGTGTTAGCAGTGTAGCAGCATCAGCAGAATTAGCAGTGTTAGCAGAATTAGCAGTGTTAGTAGTGTAGCAGCATCAGCAGCCTTAGCAGCAATAACAGTGTTAGCAGCATTAGCAGTGTTAGCAGCATTAGCAGTGTTAGCAGCATTAGCTGCACCTGGAGCTACCAGAAGCTCAAAACAAGAGTCAACAACAACAGAATCAGCTGTTTGACAGAGATTTGGTTAATTGTTCATGTGAACAACTTACATCCTCAGCTCTGCTGCTCATCACACACATGCATGTTCCTTACAAATGTGGCTCTATTTAAAAGAGAAATGAACAGGATTTCCAACAGTATAATATTTATTACCAGGATGCATTGTTACAACAAAGAAACAATCTAATAAACACAAGTTTCATTCCTTTCTGTGCTAAGTTTATAAATGAAATCTAATGAACAGATTTGTGTCTGGTTTCTGCAGGGAGATGAAGTCGTGGCGCAGACTCTCAGCCGATGAAACGGATTAAAAACGAGGAGGGAGGGAGAATAAGAAGCTGCAGCTCTCAGGATGTTCTGACATTGGGATCCGCTCCAGGACCAGATTCAGCATTGAGCCTCGGACCAAGAATCCATTTATGCTCCTGTCAGGACCTTTGTTTTGTTCTCAGCCAAAGGTGTCCCCCTTTTTTTATTCTAGGCTTAATTCTTCCAGCTGGTGCTGTGGGATTTAGTTCAGCTGTCTCTGTGGGACTAACACCCCGGGACCCCCTCAGAACAGATGGTCTCTCCGTGCTCAACACTTAACTTATTCTTTATTTATGTCAGCTAGTGAAACCTTGTGTGAAATGATTTGTCTTTGTTTTTGTTTCGGCTGGTGTCTCCTGTCATCCTGACATGATGGAAGCATCATGAAGCCACGACACGAGTAGAAAACATGAATTATTTTTTAAAAAGTGACATGAGTCGGGTGATTTCTACATACAATAACATGAATGTTACATCTGTGTTCACCACACACACACACACACACAAAAGCCTCGCTCAGCCATGAAAAGTGGATTATAATCTCCATTCAAGCAGCATCTGGCAGATATTCCACAGTCAGCGATATCAGAAAACTGGATCATGACTTTCACAGAGATGAGCTCAGTTTGTGTGGAACTGAACGAACGAGGAGTTAAACCTCGTGTTCAGACAGTTTTATTCAGGTCAGAGGAAGAAGTCCGTTAGTCGTCACGCTGGTTCAACAAGCTGCTTCAGCTCAGAGCTCTTAAAGGCAGTGTAGCAGCATCAGCAGAATTAGCACTGTTTACCTTCATACGCTCCACTGATAGGTCTGAAAGGAACAGTCAAAGGGAATTTAAATGTTAAATTAAAATATCTTAGATGCAGGGTTTTAAAATCAAACTTTTATTCAGTCTCATACATGCTCCATAGTAAACAAAAACAACAAAACAAGAAAAAGATGCTTTGTGTAAATGTTATTATGTGACTCATCATATCAAACTGAGTATTAAATCACTGTGTGGAAAAAGAGACAACTATAATGCACTGGGTTTACAAAAGCATTTTATATAAACATTTAAATATACCTTATCTTTAAAATAATTATTTGAAATATAATTTAAAAGAATTTTTGTATTTGAATTTTGATTTTAAGCA